CTGCTGTCCCTGAGGACGGGACTCGGGCACCAACTGTAACCAGGCGCAGAGACTGCGGTGTCCAAGCACTTGCTGCTCCACCAGCAGCCCCAGGGCCAGCTGGCTGTGCTGAGGACCACGGTCCCAGAGCAGGGGTGGCAGAGGGGCACAGCCCATCACTGCAGCGCCACACCTGTGACCTCGCCAGGCTGCACTCGTACCCGAGGAACCCACTGCTCAAGCGGTTTATCAGCGAGACACCTCAGCAGCCACTAAACAAACGTGCATTTCCCAACACTCTGTATGCCTGTCTTAAACATCCCGGGTGACTAGGCACTGCTTGCTTCCTCGCCTGCTCCCTGCTTCCCACGGATTTCAAGCCGGGATGGGATGTCACACAGCTCCAGAAACACATTCCCAGAAGGACCCCAGGCACAGGCCTACTTTTTGCAGACGTGCTGAGACCCGCTGCGGTACTCGTGATCGAAGGCTGGCAGGATGAGCTGGTGCCGTTTGAACTTGCTCTGCTCCATGCGGGTCAGCGCCGGCGTCGGAGGGTCCCGCCACTCGGGGATGAAGACGATGAAGGAGAGAGGCTCACTGGAGTTCTCCAGCAGTTTCTAGTTCAACAAGAAAATTAAAAATTTCAGCACCGGCTGAGCAATGACATGTCTAATGAGTCCTACGGAAAGAAAACACTTCTGGTGCCGCAGCCATCCCTGTCCTTTGCCTTCTGCACAACAGCCCCGTCGTGATGGTGTGGGAGCAGTGCGGAGACGAGGACCGACTGCATGGCTCTGCTCAGAACAGCTCCACGGGTGAGCGGACATACCTCAAAGTGAGAGACCATGGCATCCATCAGCTCCTCGCAGAACGGAGGATTTGCCTCAAAAGAGCCACTTATAGGGAAGAAATCCAGGCACGGGCTGGAGGAGAAAGGCAAAGATCCCTATCAGAGAGGACAGAATTCTGATTTTCACACCTTAAAAATCATCTGTTTCTTCAGCAGTCGTGCTCTCAGGAAGCCCGGATCCCCAGCAGCTGCCTCTAGCAGCAGGACAGGTCCTTGGGGACACGCCCACCCATAGCCACTGACGGTGACTGCTGGTTCAGTCCCCCCCTTGGGGGCCCAGGTCCCCCAACAACACTGGCAGACCCATAAACGGCACCAGGCCAGGAACCGGAGCCCTCTAACC